GATTAATACAATCTTATATTTGCTGGATTACTCATTACTTACTTTACAGTATTGAAACAAATGAATAACATCAGACTTCAAGTTACCAACGCAGAATGGCGCTGTATCTATTCCGAGCCAGCTGGACTTTCCCTAATGATCATTTAGGAAAAGCAGATCGAAAAAATAAACAAAACATTAACAATTATGAAACTCAAGCGGCTGTCCATGGATGCCAACCTTTTTCCCCGGAATAAACAGACCCGAACTGCCTATCCCTAATGATCATGTCTGCCAACGTTAGCTTTAATCGCTTCGGTGGTGCTAGTGGAGTCGAAAGAATTATTTTTTTGGCAAGCGATGGGGGAAAACAAAAAGTAGATGGACACGGCCTGAAATTATCATACGGGGCATCCATAAGAACTCTGATTAAAAATCATCCGGGCGCTCGAGGAGGTGAATGTCAACGGATATACCAATACTTTTGCAGTATAGCGGCTCTGGCGTTGAGGTCCATCTGACCTTTGAACCTTCCACTTCATAGCAATGCCGCGACCACAAAATTTTTTCCCCGGCCCTCTCTCACCCCTCTACCCTCACCCCTCTACCCTCACCCCTCTCCCCTCCCTCTTCTCTCCCCAAGGCACGCTCGAAAGAGGTTCATCAACTTGTTTGTTTTTTTGCAATGACATTTTTGGGCCTCAACATGGCTACGCCTGAGTGAAGAGAGCAGCGAGTGAAGACACGACGCAGTGCAACACCAAGGTGAGACAAGACATTACTGGACCTTATGTTGCGCCCGGCAGGTGTATCTCAGGTGTATCTCAGGTGTATCTCAGGGTAATACTCACACAGCAGCTGCTTATAAGGGGTAAGGATGCCCAGGTGCAGGAGTGAGGGCACATATGGAAGGAGTTAAACACTCATAGTTCATATGTAGCGAGGGGTGATGTTGACTTTGTTCAACGGCCATGTGTAGTGTAACTACACATTCCAGTATAGTATTCATTCTTAATCTAGTACAGATTTAGGCAGCGTCTGGGATCCTCTCGGACGTAGGTTCGAACCCTCGTTACGGCCCTTGTGGATTTGTTCATTAGTATAGTATTGAGAAATAGTTAATCGCTAGCAATTTTGTCATGCGGGCTGCATCGAGCAACAGCCTGTTGAACCAAATTGAGCTTGGGGAGGTAGAAAAACTCTCAGAACCTCCACCAGGTACAATAAAGGTATTAATAGCTAACTAGTCCGGTGTAACTATTAGGACTTGATAAAGCCCTTACAGGACTTGGTTCTCGATGCACAATCGGGAATCCCGGGTTCGATTCCAGGGCGGGACAGAAATGGTGGGGCACGTTTCCTTTCACCCAATGCCTCTCTTCACCTAGCAATAAATAGGTATCCGGAAGTTAGGTCAATGCTGAGGGATTGCATCCTTGGGAGAGTCAGCACTTCTTCCTTCAGGGAACATGTTGATACCAGCCTAATGTATTCACACAGGCTTCCTGTCACCGACAACAGGGAATTATTATGAAAGCTATCTCTGTACTTCGTGTTAATACATCATCTATACTTCTCTGTTCCCCCTGTTTCTCCTCCTTTCCCTTACTTCTCTCTTCTCCCCTCGTCTCTCCTGCTTCCTCTTCCCTCCCCTCTCTCCCTTCCTCCCGCTTCCCCTCAGATAAGAGGACACAGGGACCAGCTGTTATAATCAGTCACCGTCTGTTTCAGCCAGCTTATAATAAACCTACGCCCGTGCTCACCTCTTTCCCTCCTGTTACGTCACTGTTGTTCCCATAGGCCGTGCCTCCTGTTACGTCACTGTTGTTCCCATAGGCCGTGCCTCCTGTTACGTCACTGTTGTTCCCATAGGCCGTGCCTCCTGTTACGTCACTGTTGTCCCATAGGCCGTGCCTCCTGTTAGGTCACTGTTGTCCCATAGGCCGTGCCTCCTGTTACGTCACTGTTGTCCCATAGGCCGTGCCTCCTGTTAGGTCACTGTTGTCCCATAGGCCGTGCCTCCTGTTAGGTCACTGTTGTCCCATAGGCCGTGCAACCTGTTAGGTCACTGTTGTTCCCATAGGCCGTGCCTCCTGTTACGTCACTGTTGTTCCCATAGGCCGTGCCTCCTGTTACGTCACTGTTGTCCCATAGGCCGTGCCTCCTGTTAGGTCACTGTTGTTCCCATAGGCCGTGCCTCCTGTTACGTCACTGTTGTCCCATAGGCCGTGCCTCCTGTTAGGTCACTGTTGTCCCATAGGCCGTGCCTCCTGTTAGGTCACTGTTGTCCCATAGGCCGTGCCTCCTGTTAGGTCACTGTTGTCCCATAGGCCGTGCCTCCTGTTAGGTCACTGTTGTCCCATAGGCCGTGCCTCCTGTTACGTCACTGTTGTCCCATAGGCCGTGCCTCCTGTTAGGTCACTGTTGTCCCATAGGCCGTGCCTCCTGTTAGGTCACTGTTGTCCCATAGGCCGTGCCTCCTGTTAGGTCACTGTTGTCCCATAGGCCGGGCCTCCTGTTAGGTCACTGTTGTTCCCATAGGCCGTGCCTCCTGTTACGTCACTGTTGTTCCCATAGGCCGTGCCTCCTGTTAGGTCACTGTTGTCCCATAGGCCGGGCCTCCTGTTAGGTCACTGTTGTTCCCATAGGCCGTGCCTCCTGTTACGTCACTGTTGTTCCCATAGGCCGTGCCTCCTGTTACGTCACTGTTGTTCCCATAGGCCGTGCCTCCTGTTAGGTCACTGTTGTCCCATAGGCCGGGCCTCCTGTTACGTCACTGTTGTCCCATAGGCCGTGCCTCCTGTTAGGTCACTGTTGTTCCATAGGCCGTGCCTCCTGTTACGTCACTGTTGTCCCATAGGCGGTGCCTCCTGTTAGGTCACTGTTGTCCTACTCTGTGCTGTTTCTTTTCCGTCCCAAAGGTAATATAGACAGAGGCTGGCTACCTTATCTCTCTCTCACACACACAAGGACGTTGGCAGCTGAGTGGACAGCACGCTAGACACGTAATCATGTGGACCGGGGTTCGATTCCGGGCGACGGCGAGAAATAAAAATGGGCAGAGTTTCTTTCACCCCTGATGCTCCTGTTACCTAGCAGTAACAGGTACCTGGGAGTTAGACAGCTGGGGGGGGGGGAATTGATTGATTAATTGACAGTTGAGAGGCGGGCCGAAAGAGCCAGACCTCAACCCCCGCAAGCACAACTAGGTAAGTACAACTAGGTGAATACACACACACACACACACACACACACACACACACACACACACACAGATAGAGCCCAGTAGGCTCGGGAATCTGTACACCAGTTGATTGGCAGTTGAGAGGCGGGGACCAAAGAGCCAGAGCTCAACCCCCGCAAGCACAATTAGGTAAGCACACACACACACACACACACACACACACACACACACGCACACAAACACCTTTCTGTAGCAAACTAAACAGTTGAGATATTCTGCAATGTCTGTGCAATGATGCTTCAATCGCCTTTGATGTATTAATCTTTCATAGCATTTCTCGATTCATCTTCAGTCTCCCCCATCCCCCCTACCCGCCCCCCCCGCCTTCCCTCCCTCCCTCCCTCCCTCCCTCTTTCCTTCCCCGCCTCTTCCCATACAACGCACTCACTCCCTCCCTCTCTCAGCTCCCTCCAAACTCTTAATGACGAAATCAATCCCACCTCCTCCTCCTGATACGAATTGCGGAGACGTTATTAATCCCGGCTTTTCATTACGTCATAACTGCCTCATTTCACACTTTCGTTAATCACCCAGGCCGTCAGACGAAACAATTTTAAATATACGAAACAATAAGAGACGCCCTATTGATTAGCCGTATGACTAATGGGAGAAGACTGGCTAAAGTGGCTTTGTTCACTCTGACACACAATTCATCACTCGGCCAACATTTTTCACTCATCCCGTCAACGTCGTATAATATCGTATCATCAAATCGTGTTTAGAAGTCGAGATAGAACTTCTACGGAGTCTTACGAGTCTCCTTGGCTCGTGCACGAGTCTCCTTGGCTCGTGCACGTGCCTCACCACAGCCTCCTTGGCTCGTGTACGTGCCTCACCACAGCCTCCTTGGCTCGTGCACGAGTCTCCTTGGCTCGTGCACGTGCCTCACCACAGCCTCCTTGGCTTGTGCACGAGTCTCCTTGGCTCGTGCATGTGCCTCACCACAGCCTCCTTGGCTCGTGCACGTGCCTCACCACAGCCTCCTTGGCTCGTGCACGGGTCTCCTTGGCTCGTGCACGTGCAGATCGTCCTCGATCTGTATGCACCAACTACTGTAGTTACAGGTCTTCATGGTATACTCACTGCACTTAGTAAACAAAAATACCCTCCCCTGCCCCTCATTCATCCATCCTCTCTCTCTCTCTCTCTCTCTCTCTCTCTCTCTCTCTCTCTCTCTCTCTCTCTCTCTCTCTCTCTCTCTCTCTCTCTCTCTCTCTCTCTCTCTCTCTTTGAAAAACTGGAGTATTGTAACTAAGCAACTCCCAGCTGCTTGTACTCTTTTCATTGAAACTAGAACGTTATTTATTTGCAAAACAGATATATACAAAACCAACATTTGGTTGTAAAAAGCAAGTACACTATTAGAAGTGCGTGTGCCAAGAACGCAGGTTCGATCCCATCGACGGCCTCCTCTCATCATGGTCGCATTCTCGTGTACAATCAAGTACACTAGTCTTTGGTAAGACCATGGCAACACGTGGCATAATAAAGTCTTCTGTTTGTTAGTTTAAACGTGTTTTACTTTCCCCCGATAAATCCAGCAGGTTTGGCACATTATTTTATCAAATAAGTAGTCACCGATAACATCTGCCCCTTTTTATTACCGACACCGACGCCGCCGTTACCGCTATTGACGCCACCCGACGCCGCCGACGCCGCTATCGCCCGTACGCCAGCCGTACCACCTCGTCTACCACCACCACCACCACCACCAGTGAACATAACTGCTGGCTCACCATCTACCCCATTCTCTCCAGAGACACGAACGCCAACACGAATGCGCCGTCGCCCCCGACACGAATGCGCCGTCGCTCCCGTCACGAATGCGCCGTCGCCCCCGACACGAATGCGCCGTCGCTCCCGACACGAATGCGCCGTCGCCCCCGACACGAATGCGCCGTCGCCCCCAACACGAATGCGCCGTCGCCCCCGACACGAATGCGCCGTCGCCCCCAACACGAATGCTCCGTCGCCCCCGACACGAATGCGCCGTCGCCCCCGACACGAATGCGCCGTCGCCCCCGACACGAATGCGCCGTCGCCCCCAACACGAATGCGCCGTCGCTCTCAACACGAACGCGCCGTCGCTCCCAACACGAATGCGCCGTCACTCCCGACACAAATGCGCCGTCGCTCCCTACACGAATGCGCCGTCGCCCCCAACACGAATGCGCCGTCGCTCTCAACACGAACGCGCCGTCGCTCCCGACACGAACGCGCCGTCGCTCCCAACACGAATGTCTATTTGTTTACATCTCCCATTTCCCCGTCAAGGCCGCTCGGCGATGATTCATTTATACAGGAAGAAGAAAACCTCCAGTATAATTGACTTGTTACTGGGGACGCTGTTGCCGAGCACAGGGCCAATATAAACAAGTACTTTAATAGGTCACCCGGTAATGACTCAATGATCCATAAAACAAGACACGTGCGGGCGTGCAAGCGCATGTATTACTCGGCATAAATATGTCGGCCTGGAGAGTGTCCCTTTCATTCAGGTCGAGATGTCTACGACCAGCTCCCTCGGCGTGAAGGGCCGACACTCCTCCAACGGACGGCACTCAGCGCATGAAGCACTGACACTCCTCCAACGGACGGCACTCAGCGCATGAAGCACTGACACTCGCTACAACGGACGGCACTCAGCGCATGAAGCCCCGACACTCGCAATTACAGTACTTTATTCACTCTTGTGTTAATAATGTTATCCTCATAATACACGCAGAGTCTGTCAGTGCAGACTACTGATCACATGGCCCTGCACACACACTGTACTCCCCTTCATATAGTCTCGGGGCAGCTGCACATATGCACATGTACCAAAATGTGTTAATACAACAAATGTAATATATAAAAATAGAGGAACGGACTGTCATAGTGAGGGTCGAAGTCGGCCCCATAGTGAAACCTTTTGGTACCTTAATTGACCCAAACACAGGGTCGACCCCGGCACCGCCGGATACCCCATCTAGAATATGCATGGATGCACACACCACACACACAAACACACACACACATATAATATTGTGTGTATATGTATATAACAGGGCTTGATAGAAAACGTTAGTGAGCCCTCACTGTCTCATTGCCTGCAGAGGGGGGGGGGGATATCTTGTGGGGTTAAATACCCTGGAATTCCCACCTCTTTAGGGCTCTGAGTATGGTGTAGTGGATACGAGTGCGTAACTGCCATCTTGATGGTCAGGGTTCGAGTCTCCTGGTGGGTGTGTGTGTCTAAAAGTTATATTATATATATATATATATATATATATATATATATATATATATATATATATATATATATATATATATATATATATATATATATATATATATATATATATATATATATCCATAATACTTTCACATTCCATGAGGTGAATATACGAGCCAAATATAAGAAAAGATTTTTTCTTAGTGTGTGTGGGCCGGGCCATGGAAAATAAGCTGCTTCAGCCGTGATAAATGGCCACAGGATATCCTGCCATACCTAGTTGAAAATTTCGAACGGGGAAACTTTTTTTTAGTAGATTTGTCCCAAAACTTGCTCACTTCTACTGGGCGGAGGAGAAGTGGTGGGGGATACAGGTGGGGAGTAGGGAGAAGTGGTGGGGAGTAGTGGCAAGTACTCGAGTGAGTTGCGGGCGAGCAGTGGCGAGTAGTGATGGAGGAGAGCAGTGGTGGAGCCTCGCAACATGGTACAATGACATCTCTCATAGCAATACAAAATATACAAAAACATAACTTGAGACCTCAGAGTTACGCAATTATAGGCAGAAAGTGGCACGCCAGAATAAATATACGCCCCGTAGAAGGGATATGAGGACAAGGAGCTGAGATATGAGGACAAGGAGCTGAGATATGAGGACAAGGAGCCGGGATACGAGGATAGAGGGAAGAAACGGTGCCTATAACCTCTTGGACCATCGGGGATCGAACGCCGACACTGTAGACAGCTGTATCGAGCAGGTCAAGTGCCGCCACACTGGACTGGGAGCCAGATCTAAACTTGACCCGCTTATGCGTGTCCTCGACTGCCAAGTGGTCGCATTACCCAGGTCACCGGCAGTGTCAACTACGTGACCTTCCCTAAGTGTGAGGGCCCTTCAGGGGTCGAGGCTTAGGCAGACCCCCCCCCCTGGGGCTCTCACACTGGGGTAAGCCTTCCCCCCTGGGGCTCTCACACTGGGGTACGCCTTCACACTGGGGGTAAGCCTACCCCCTGGGGCTCTCACACTGGGGTAAGCCTACCCCCTGGGGCTCTCACACTGGGGTAAGCCTTCCCCCTGGGGCTCTCACACTGGGGTAAGCCTTCCCCCTGGGGCTCTCACACTGGGGTAAGCCTTCCCCCCTCCTGGGGGTTTTCTGTTAAGTTTTCTGTTAAGACACTCAGAATTTTAGGAGGAAGTTTTCAAGTTCAATTCACTACATACAAGTTTTAAATATCAAGAATTTCTTTTTCAGGTTTATTAAACAATAGAGATTTTATACAAAATTTGAAAATATCCGGAGTTACTTTAAAATTTATTGATATATTATAGTTTTGTTTTATTAGTTTTATAAAACTGTAATATCAATATAGCTATAGCTTAAGTACTAATTGTAATTAAGAAGCAATAAAATGATTGTCCTCATACGCTAAGAAGGTTAGGTTAGGTCGTGGTTTTCTATTCAGCTTTTCAGGTAAACTCAAATATTCACAATATATTTGACAGTACGGTTTAATACTAAGTGAAAATAAGTACAAATCTAAGTACAAATAAGTACAAGTTTAATACTAAGTGAAAAATAAGTACAAGTCCTTACTGCTATGAACAGTACATAATGGCACTTACTTGTGCCGTTACATTTACCTCCCCATTTTTGGAGGACGGACTGGCGTGTATGTTCCGAGGCTGTTCTAATGTGAATATATTCCAAGGATGTTCTAGTGGGTACATGGTCAAAGGTTGATGCACGCCTGTGTGTGTCAAGGCTGCCGCAGCTGGTGCCAGCAAGATAGCTGCCGCAGCTGGTGCCAGCAAGATAGCTGCCGCAGCTGGTGCCAGCAAGATAGCTGCCGCAGCTGGTGCCAGCAAGATAGCTGCCGCAGCTGGTGCCAGCAAGATAGCTGCCGCAGCTGGTGCCAGCAAGATAGCTGCCGCAGCTGGTGCCAGCAAGATAGCTGCCGCAGCTGGTGCCAGCAAGATAGCTGCCGCAGCTGGTGCCAGCAAGATAGCTGCCGCAGCTGGTGCCAGCAAGATAGCTGCCGCAGCTGCCGCAGCAAGATAGCTGCCGCAGCCATTATAACTGACACGCACAAACACAGGCAGAATACAAATGAACAGAGATATATACACGAACTTTCCTTTGTCTCTCAGTGCGTGTAGGAGCAGCATTCCTGTGAGCACATGTGGCCGGTGTGTGGCTCCAAACCTGTCAGAGGTGTCATACATGACGTCCAAGCGAATCACAGCCTCATACACCACGTCCAAAGGTGCCAGAGGTAACATACGTGGCGGCGGCCAGCACCGAGCCTGGGGGACAGGAGTCATCAAGCATTTACACGAAGACTTACGAAACCTCTACATCTTTCCTTACTCATAGCGGTTTTACGTATATTAAACAGTTGAGGAGCTTTTGAGACTTCACGACTTAAGGTATTACTGCTGTAAACAATTTTGTAGTGCTTAGCTCATACAACCGCTACGATTAAGAAAAAGATGAACCGGCTTCGCAAGTGGTTACATATCACTAAGTCGAAAACGTGACTTGAGTGATTTGGATGAAGCGCTCCCGGTAACGACCTTGCAAATTGCAGGTACACTGTGGTTACTGAAGCAGTCACTAAGGTGCTTATCACCCTAATTGGCCCCGGTAAAACTACTCAACACCCTCAATTACACTCCTTAACTCATCGCCAGTTTGGCCACAAGGGCAAAAATAATATTTTGTTGGTTTTATTATAATTCACATTCGCTTCGTTTACTGTTGTCTCCCATCATTGTTTTCCTTCTCATTTCGTTTTCTTCAATTGTTTTTGTTTACTGCAGGTTAGAGTACTGACCTAGTTGTGCTTGCCGGGGTTGGGCTCTGGCTCTTTAGTCCCGCCTTTCAACTGTCAATCAATCAACTGGTTTTTTTTTCCTACACACACAACCCCCATCCCCTTCCCAGGAAACAGGCCGTAGCAGCTGTCTAACTCCCTGGTACCTATTTACTGATAGGTGAACAGGTCCATTAGGGTAAAAGAAACTGCTCATTTATTTCCGCCGGCGCTGGGAATCGAACCCGGACCCTTACGACTACGAATCCCGAGCGCTTTCCACTCAGCCGTCAAGACCCCATGAGTGTTATGTTATGGATGAGTGTTGAAGAGTTACCTGTTGGGCAAGTGCCCGCCACCCACAACTTTATGGTCCACTTGACAACGAGTTACAACTTTACTAAAGTTACTTATGAAACGGCTACAGGCAGGCTACAGACCAGTTGCACTAACATCGCACATCATAAAAGTATTTGAGAGAGTGATTAGGAGTCAGGTCACCAATTTCATGGAGACCAATGACCTTCATAACCCAGGCCAACATGGATTTCGAGCGGGAAGATCGTGCCTCTCACAGCTACTTGAGCACTACGACAAAGTCACTGAGGCATTAGAAGAGAAACAGAATGCTGATGTGATATACACGGACTTCGCAAAGGCCTTCGATAAATGTGACCATGGCGTGATAGCACACAAAATGAAGTCAATGGGAATAACCGGTAAAGTAGGACGCTGGATACTCAGTTTTCTGTCAAACAGGACTCAGCGAGTAACTGTCAACCATATAAAATCTAGTCCAAGTGCAGTGAAAAGCTCTGTACCTCAGGGTACAGTCCTTGCACCACTGCTTTTCCTTATTCTCATATCAGATATAGACAAAAATACAAGTCACAGCTTCGTATCATCCTTTGCAGATGACACAAAAATCAGTATGAAAATTACCTCGGCTGAGGACATTGAAAAACTTCAAGCTGATATTAATAAAGTTTTCGACTGGGCATCAGAAAATAACATGATGTTTAACAGTGATAAATTCCAGGTACTCAGGTACGGTAAAAATGAGGACCTTAAACATAATACAGAGTACAAAACACAATCAAATGTACCCATAGTAGGAAAACAGCATGTAAAGGATTTGGGAATAATAATGTCGGACGACCTAACGTTTAAGGAGCATAACCAAGCAAATATTGCGACAGCCAGAAAAATGATAGGATGGATTACGAGAACTTTCAAATCCAGGGATCCCATCACAATGGTTGTACTCTTCAAGGCACTTGTGTTGTCCCGTCTTGAGTACTGCTCAGTACTCACTTCCCCCTTCAAAGCAGGAGAGATTGCTGAAATAGAGGGAATACAGAGAACATATACGGCACGCATAGACGCAATAAAGCACCTAAATTATTGGGATCGTCTCAAAGCCCTCCAAATGTACTCACTAGAAAGAAGACGAGAGAGATATCAAATAATATACACCTGGAAGATACTGGAGGGCCAAGTACCAAATCTACACAGTAAAATAACAACGTACTGGAGTGAACGACATGGAAGAAAATGTAGAATAGAACCAATGAAGAGCAGAGGTGCCATAGGCACAATCAGAGAACACTGTATAAACATCAGAGGTCCGCGGTTGTTCAACGTCCTCCCAGCAAGCATAAGAAATATTGCCGGAACAACCGTGGACATTTTCAAGAGGAAACTAGATTTATTCCTCCAAGGAGTGCCGGACCAACCGGGCTGTGGTGGGTATGTGGGCCTGCGGGCCGCTCCAAGCAACAGCCTGGTGGACCAAACTCTCACAAGTCGAGCCTGGCCTCGGGCCGGGCTTGGGGAGTAGAAGAACTCCCAGAACCCCATCAACCAGGTATCAACCAGGCTAGTAGACGAGGTATAGCTAGCTCTCACTTCTCCCTAGTCACGCTAGGTGAGTACTGCCACCGCCACCGACGCCACCTCTCCCCAACCCCGCCACCGACGCCACCTCTCACCCACCCCGCCACCGACGCCACCTGTCCTCACCCCGCCACCGACGCCACCTCTCACCCACCCCGCCACCGACGCCACCTGTCCTCACCCCGCCACCGACGCCACCTCTCACCCACCCCGCCACCGACGCCACCTCTCACCCACCCCGCCACCGACGCCACCTCTCACCCACCCCGCCACCGACGCCACCGATCACCCACCCCGCCACCGACGCCACCTGTCCTCACCCCGCCACCGACGCCACCTCTCACCCATCCCGCCACCGACGCCACCTCTCACCCACTCCGCCACCGACGCCACCTCTCACCCACCCCGCCACCGACGCCACCTGTCCTCACCCCGCCACCGACGCCACCTCTCACCCACCCCGCCACCGACGCCGCCTCTCACCCACCCCGCCACCGACGCCACCTCTCACCCACCCCGCCACCGACGCCGCCTCTCCCCAACCCCGCCACTGACGCCACTCTCACCCACCCGCCACTCACGCCACTCTCACCCACCCGCCACCGACGCCACAGACAAGACGGCGGGGTGGCCGGGGCGGGGAACCTTGGCCTTACCTCCGGCACGCTGCTCTCCGCCAGCCCTCCACCTGGTGCAGGTCTTCACACAAACACTGCCAGACTCCAGGTACCTCAGGTACTCCAATACCCGCCATCTTAGAGGATTTGTTAGTACATGGCTACTAGTGCCTCCACTCTCCTCTTCCACACCCCGCACACTCCTCTTCCGTCTCCGCCTCCTCCAGTCCGCACATGCCAGTTCCAACTTCTCCTGTTCTAAAATTCCAGCCTCGCATAGCTCAAAGGGCTTCGTGAAACTGGATTCCCATTCCAACTTCACCAGTTCGTGGCTCCGAGTTCTCTCCTCCGCTGCATTCCAATTCTCTCCTTCCCTTCAGCAGTTCTTTGCTTCGCAAGGACTCTTTTTGTTACAGTTTTACGGAGATATGAAGGGAATGCTATAGTGATACTTGGTGACGGGTCATTCACGACAGTTGTTCATGGAGGTCTGCAACTACAGAGCTCTCTTGTGCGTGCCCACACACACACAACACTTCCCTGTGCTTGCAACATACCAAGTTGCAAGATGTTGATCATTTCCTCCTACCCGTCCACCGCCGCACACGGTCAACTCTCAGGGGCACCGCACGAAATGATCGCTACAATTGCACGAACTACCAATTTGATGAACAAGAAGAAGCACTTGGGAATGTTGTCATTTAATACATAATGTTGTCGTTGTATTATAAGGTCAGCTTCCCCGTATAGTTATAATACACCGCAGTCACGCTCTCCGTTTCTACCTTGATAGTAGATGATGACCTGAGGGCGCTAAGACAGTATGGCTTCATCTTGAGATGATTTCGGGGCTTTAGTGTCCCCGCGGCCCGGTCCTCGACCAGGCCTCCACCCCCAGGAAGCAGCCCGTGACAGCTGACTAACACCCAGGTACCTATTTTACTGCTAGGTAACAGGGGCATAGGGTGAAAGAAACTCTGCCCATTGTTTCTCTCCGGCGCCCGGGATCGAACCCGGGACCACAGGATCACAAGTCCAGCGTGCTGTCCGCTCGGTGTAAATCCCCTGTTAGGGATATGAGGGTATGGAGCTGGTACATGAGGATCTGGTGCTGGGGTATGAGAATATGAGGCTGGGGTATGAGGACAGAGGGAAGGTCGACGACCGGGCCGCGGGGACACTAAGCCCCGGAAGCACCTCAAGAGGGAAGGTCGCGACCCCCAACCACTTGGGCTATCGGGGATCGAACGCAACTCGAGAAGAGAGGCCGTCGATGCACCGGTCAACCCAAGTTAATCAGCCGATTACATGAGGTAACGCCAATTTCGTACACGTCACAATGTTACATTACGTTACACAGATCCCTGGAAATGTAACTAGAAGAAGGTTCCACAGACAAGTCTGTGCTGAGCTACGTCAAATATTGGTAGAGTTATGTGCTGTAGAGGCATTAAGCCACCGAGAGGAAGTGCTACACAGTCAAATGACAAAATGCTGTCTAGCTAAGTCCAGGTTCCAAGCACTAACTTGAGACAGTGGAAGAGCTAACTTGTTAAGGTATACCACCGGCAACTTGGTGAGCTACACCACCGTCAACTTGGAGGCAGCTACACCCCCGCCAACTTGGGCAGCTACACCACCGCCAACTTGGTGAGCTACACCACCGCCAACTTAGGGAGCTACACCACCGCCAACTTGGGGAGTTACACCACCGCCAACTTGGAGGCAGCTACACCACCGCCAACTTAGGGAGCTACACCACCGCCAACTTGGGGAGCTACACCACCGCCAACTTGGCCAGCTACACCACCGCCAACTTGGAGGCAGCTACACCACCGCCAACTTAGGGACCTACACCACCGCCAACTTGGGAAGCTACACCACCGCCAACTTGGGCAGCTACACCACCGCCAACTTGGAGGCAGCTGCACCACCGCCAACTTAGGAAGCTACACCACCGCCAACTTAGGGAGCTACACCACCGCCAACTTGGAGGCAGCTACACCACCGCCAACTTAGGGAGCTACACCACCGCCAACTTAGGGAGCTACACCACCGCCAACTTGGAGGCAGCTACACCACCGCCAACTTGGAGGGAGCTACACCACCGCCAACTTAGGGACCTACACCACCGCCAACTTAGGGAGCTACACCACCGCCAACTTGGAGGCAGCTACACCACCGCCAACTTGGAGGGAGCTACACCACCGCCAACTTAGGGAGCTACACCACCGCCAACTTGGAGGCAGCTACACCACCGCCAACTTGGAGGGAGCTACACCACCGCCAACTTAGGGACCTACACCACCGCCAACTTAGGGAGCTACACCACCGCCAACTTGGAGGCAGCTACACCACCGCCAACTTAGGGAGCTACACCACCGCCAACTTGGAGGCAGCTACACCACCGCCAACTTAGGGAGCTACACCACCGCCAACTTGGAGGCAGCTACACCACCGCCAACTTAGGGAGCTACACCACCGCCAACTTAGGGAGCTACACCACCGCCAACTTAGGGAGCTACACCACCGCCAACTTAGGGAGCTACACCACCGCCAACTTAGGGAGCTACACCACCGCCAACTTAGGGAGCTACACCACCGCCAACTTGGAGGCAGCTACACCACCGCCAACTTGGAGGCAGCTACACCACCGCCAACTTGGAGGCAGCTACACCACCGCCAACTTGGAGGGAGTAACTTGTTAAAGCACCAACAACCGGGCCATTTTTTCCCAAGCCGTTGTGGCGCTGACTTGACTAATGGAGCAATATAATAGTAGGTCAACCAGGGTAGAGGCACGCAACCCTCTCCTCCTGCTACTGTGGTTGTTGCTACTTTGGTTGTTGCTACTGCTACTTTGGTTGTTGTTACTGCTACTTTAGTTGTTGCTACTGCTACTTTGGTTGTTGCTACTGCTACTTTGGTTGTTGCTACTGCTACTTTGGTTGTTGCTACTTTGGTTGTTGCTACTGCTACTTTGGTTGTTGCTGCTGCTACTTTGGTTGTTGCTACTGCTACTTTGGTTGTTGCTACTTTGGTTGTTGCTACTGCTACTTTGGTTGTTGCTACTGCTACTTTGGTTGTTGCTACTGCTACTTTGGTTGTTGCTACTGCTACTTTGGTTGTTGCTACTGCTACTTTGGTTGTTGCTACTGCTACTTTGGTTGTTGCTACTGCTACTTTGGTTGTTGCTGCTGCTACTTTGGTTGTTGCTGCTGCTACTTTGGTTGTTGCTACTGCTTCTTTGGTTGTTGCTACTTTGGTTGTTGCTACTGCTACTTTGGTTGTTGCTGCTGCTACTTTGGTTGTTGCTACTGCTACTTTGGTTGTTGCTACTTTGGTTGTTGCTACTGCTACTTTGGTTGTTGCTACTTTGGTTGTTGCTACTGCTACTTTGGTTGTTGCTACTGCTACTTTGGTTGTTGCTACTTTGGTTGTTGCTACTTTGGTTGTTGCTACTTTGGTTGTTGCTACTGCTACTTTGGTTGTTGCTACTGCTACTTTGGTTGTTGCTACTGCTACTTTGGTTGTTGCTACTGCTACTTTGGTTGTTGCTACTGCTACTTTGGTTGTTGCTGCTGCTACTTTGGTTGTTGCTGCTGCTACTTTGGTTGTTGCTGCTGCTACTTTGGTTGTTGCTACTGCTACTTTGGTTGTTGCTACTGCTACTTTGGTTGTTGCTACTGCTACTTTGGTTGTTGCTACTGCTACTTTGGTTGTTGCTACTGCTACTTTGGTTGTTGCTACTGCTACTTTGGTTGTTGCTACTGCTACTTTGGTTGTTGCTACTGCTACTTTGGTTGTTGCTGCTGCTACTTTGGTTGTTGCTGCTGCTACTTTGGTTGTTGCTGCTGCTACTTTGGTTGTTGCTGCTGCTACTTTGGTTGTTGCTGCTGCTACTTTGGTTGTTGCTGCTGCTACTTTGGTTGTTGCTGCTGCTACTTTGGTTGTTGCTGCTGCTACTTTGGTTGTTGCTACTGCTACTTTGGTTGTTGCTACTGCTACTTTGGTTGTTGCTACTGCTACTTTGGTTGTTGCTACTGCTACTTTGGTTGTTGCTACTTTGGTTGTTGCTACTGCTACTTTGGTTGTTGCTACTGCTACTTTGGTTGTTGCTACTGCTACAATTGTTGTATTTTGTGGTATTTTTGATGGTGCTACTAATTATCTAGCCCACCTGACCTTGCAGGGTGAACACTGGAAGGTAAGAAACTGTCATAGGGAAATCGTGGTCCGCTCCAATGTCCCCCTTTTTAAGAGAGGTCGGCTCCTATTGCTACCCCCACCACCACCATGAGGTCTGAACTAGTGTTTTTGTATTTGTTTGTCCAGAGTATTTTTAGTAGAGTATTTTTAGTACTTAGATCATTACACATTTGCATTCTGAGGGGTCGTTAACACCTAAATGGCACACCCTTCTGTGGTTGACCCGGGAACCGACGGGAACCCCACGCAGTGTACCCGCCTAGATTTGCAGCCTGTCCTCCAGCGTCAAGAAACTGTCGTGTTAAAGTACTATTATGCTTACTTACCAGAGGACCCAAAACAGAAAACGGGAGAGTACGTCAATTTCGAGAGCCGCTACCGTTTTCTAGCATGACAAATTTTGGCCTTAGGTAAAGTATACGTCAAAATGCGACGCTGTATTAAAATATACTAATGAAAATCTTAACATGATCTATACCAGTCTCCGTGGTGTAGTGGTAAGACACTAGCCTGGCGTTCCGCGAGCGCTATGTCATGGGTTCGTATCCTGACCGAGGAGGATTTACTGGGCGCAAATCCTTAACTGTAGCCTCTGTTTAACTCAACAGTAAAATGTGTACTTGGTTGTAACAACGATTCTTCGCGGCGGGGATCGTATTCCAGGGACCTGCCCGAAACGCTACGCGTACTAGTGGCTCTACAAGATTGTAACAACTCTTGTATATATCTCAAAAAAAAAAAAAATACTAATCATAACACATCAAAATGTTAAGATGTGCTGGCAGTGTCGAGCGACGCTCCTTGCCCGGTCTTCCGAACGTTCGTTTGAGTTCTGGCCGAGAGCCGGAACTCAACCCCCGCAAGCACAATTAGGTGAGTAAACACACGATCTTCAAGAGG